TTGCTTCAACAGTTTCTTCCATTTCAATTCAGGTATAGTGAGCCTTTCTTGAGAAACAATCAGTGTCAGGTACCAAGTAGAACACTTTACACCTCTTATTACATCTAATCCTCAAAAGCAAGTCTAGGAAGTAGGCATTTGCATGCCCATATTCCAAATGATGAAACTGAGCCTCAGAGAGATTAAGTGGAGTAAGCTTATCTAATTAGTAGGCGGTATATTTTCATCAGATATTCTGAATTTGTTCTCCATTCTCCCGCTCTGTTGCTTTTCATACCAAAACTTAGGACAGAGGAAAGGAAACACACACCCTTGAGTTGTCTCTATGTACATCCCAAAGCTGTCTCCCCCGAGCAAGCCAAGTTTTCTTTGAATTCTCATATTTACATTAAAAATGCATACGGGTTTTGATTTTCACTTTTAAATATATCTGCATTTTAAAAGTATTTAAAATATTTCCAACTGCTCGCCATCGAGTATAACTGAAACTCTAGGAAGCTGCCAGTTTCCCTTGTGGCTTGGCAAACCCTGGCCCACTGCTTCCAGGGCAGACAAAGGAGCATGGTTCTGTATGTTGGTGCCCCATGGAGAGGCTTCTACCCATCCTTCAAAACCCAGCTCATACACTGCTTCAATATCAAGCCTCCCTGCAGGGTTAGCAGGCCCAGAGTGGTGTCTCTGTCCTAGAGAACCATGAACTACAACGTAACCCTGTGCCTCATACTGAAACTACACAGCGTCTTTCTTTTGACTATAACCTTCATGGATTCAGTCCATCTATCATATATATTCAAGAACTTTGCAACGGAGAAGAGGCTTGTTAGATTTCTAATGGACAAAGCGTTGAAGATAAGTGAACGCATTACTGTGTTAACCACTTTTACTTTTCCAAAGGAATTGGGAATTGCCAACATAATGAAAGCCTACTTCTGAGTCCTAACTTCTCTTAAACACTTCTAAGTCTTGCTTTAAGTAGTTATGTTAGCCTGGTTCTCCCTTTGAAAGCACACATTTAGCTTGTCCATGCAGATACACCCAATTCCCAGCAATATCCCTGACACATTCATTGACACTGGCCATGCCATTCATTTCTTCTCCCGTCTCTGGAAAAAGGGGATAATTGGATTTGCCAGTTACCACTCAGGAATGCTGTCAGAGTTGATGAAGCTATGTTTTTAAAAGGCCTCTTTGGGAGTAATATGCCACATAAATCACAGTCCCCTATTAAAGTGGTTCTTTTAGTGCTTATTTATTTAGTAGTTGCTAGAACACTGATATTTCCTCTTAGATAGTTCATATTGAGTTGCTGGATGCCTTAATACTCAGGACCAAACAGAATTTTTTTTTTAAATTTATTTTTGGGTGTGTTGGGTCTTCGTTTCTGTGCAAGGGCTTTCTCTAGTCGTGGCAAGCGGGGGCCACTCTTCATCGCCGTGCGCAGGCCTCTCACTATCGTGGCCTCTCTTGTTGCGGAGGACAGGCTCCAGACGCGCAGGCTCAGTAGTTGTGGCTCACGTGCCTAGTTGCTCCGCAGCATGTGGGACCCTCCCAGACCAGGGCCCAAACCCGTGTCCCCTGCATTGGCAGGCAGATTCTCAACCACTGCGCCACCAGGGAAGCCCCAAACAGAATTTTTGTATCTATAACCTTCTGATGAGAATTAAACTTGGTACCTTTGCTTTCTGCTTTTGGAAGTTTTCAAGTTGATTATCTCTATCAACATGTCCAGGCCATTCCTAGCCAAATACTGGTGCATATTTGAGTTAATAGGTAAAACTACTGCATCCTTGTAGTAGTTGAACATATTGGTATTTTTCTGTCTCATATTATCTAGTATTTTAAGAATTGAATCTCAGTATTTAAAAATCTCACAGTTTTCATGAAGCATCCATAATTCTACCACCTGAGTCTCAGGTCGGTTGCTCCAAATTAGCCATTCCTTATATGGGATGATAAACCATCTAGGAATTGAATGGTCTGAATTTTTAAATTCTAGTAACTGTCTATAAATGTACTGTTCAACAGTTAATAGCCACAGGGGGAAAAAAAAAATTTCAGTCCCCAGTTCCAGTAGCTTGCAATTCAATTGCTCAGTAGATCATGTGAACCATGGCTATTGTATTGGGCAGGACAGTATAGAACATTTTCACATCACAGAAAGTCCTACTGGACAGTGCTGGTCTATAAAATTTGTATCTTAAGACTAGTGTATTTAGCTGAACAATTTTTAACTTTCTGCTCTTCCCTTTCACACCTGTCTTATGTTTTTTCCCCCTCATACTATAATGAAAAATTTTCATTGTTTGGGCCTTAAAAACAGTCTCACCTCCAAGGCCATGATTTGAACACAAAGTCTGAGGAAAATGACATGTGGAATCGCCATCTGGAGGTTGGTGCAGCGGCAGATCCAGCCATTTCTGAGAAATTGTCTGGGTTTGGAGTTACTCCCAGAACTCTGATTTAGCAGTTCCTAAGCTTATAGCAAGTCTGAAAGGAACACAAATCTGTTTTGTATATACAAATAAATCCTCATACACTGCATGCCATTCTCAGCCTGCCAGTTTCATCTGGCTGCTCCAGAAAATATAATTCAATAACACATTAGTTAACTTGTATGCAGGGAATGGGGCATTCTGATTATTGAAATGTTCTGGTTGAGTGATTAACCTGATTTTTGCAGAAAAACTGCCGAGGCGAGGGATTTTCTGTCCAAGAGGTTGTGCCACTGTAATTCTCTCTTCCAGATGATCACGGCTGCATTGCTTCTCTCCTCCAGAACTCAGAAATACATCTCTTTGCTAAAAACTTTCAAATATGCAATTGATACACTCTCAAAGAGGCCTCAAAAATAGATCAATGATGGTGTTTCAGATAATCTTAGAAAAAAGAGTAAACTTTGAAGGAAAAGTAATATCTTTGCCCAAATGTTGCACAGTTGTACACTCAAGAGTTCCTAACAACAGGGCAACTCCTTCAAATAGTATAACTTCAAAATATTAATTCAGATATTTCATTCTCTTTAGTAATAAACACTTCAAGGTGCTTACTAGATGCTAGGCAACGCTGCAAGGGCTTTGTAAGTATTAATTCATTTAATTTTTATAACCACCTTAAAATTAGGTACCAGATTATTGTATTCATTTTCAAGATGAAGAAACTGGCACAGAGAGTTGGGGATGGGCCAAGCTGATCTATCTGAATGCTCACTGGTACAAGAAGTTGTAGCATCAATGAGGGAATAACTAGGTTTATGAGAGGGTGACCAGCTGAGTTAGGTGGCTCCTACTTCCCCCCCCTTCCCCTTTCCAAATATTAGAAGAGTAGAGTTGAGGGGCCAGTATGCAGAAAAGCGAAGGGGGACTCTGGCAATGCTCAATTAGGCCCAAAGTGAAAAATGGGAGTTAAGAAAGGCTTTTCTTAATTTTTACTTAAGTAATTCTTACCTGTAATGTGTAGGGTTGTTAGGGATATATATAATTCATTCCATTTTAATAGATTTGTCTCTCAAAGGCTATTAATTTTTTTTCCAATTTAGCAAATATATGTTGAGCAATGGGCTAGCACTGGGAGGGATGAAAGCAACACAGAATTGACTAAGACATCATCGTGATCCTTGATGGCTTCCCAATTTAGCTGGGAAAACAGTCAAACGGAAACCAATAATCGTGCAAAATATGTTATGAAACATATGCTTCAAGGGAGGGTACAAAGTGCTGAAAGAGCATAGAAGAAAGAATGGTCAGTTTTGACTTGGGAAATCAAAGCATGTTTCAGAGAGGAGTAGCTTTTGAGATCCAGTTTCAGAGATGAGTAAGAATTCAGGCAAAAAGGGGAGGAAATTAGAAAGTATAGTTGTGAAACCCATACATCTCAAAGATTTTGACAAGTGCTGTAATAGTAAGAAGCCTTAGTGGTGAAATAATGAATGGCAGTGTGTGTGTGTGAGAGAGAGAGAGACAGACAGAGAGAGAGAGAGAGAGAGAGCAAGAGAGAGAGAGAGAGAGAGAGAGAGAGAGAGAGAGAGAGAGAGAGAGAGGAGAGAGAGAGAGAGAGAGAAAGTGTGGAAGAAAAGAATGAGCCTCAGGAAGGTTTTAAAGATTAAATGAGGGCTTCCCTGGTGGTGCAGTGGTTGAGAGTCTGCCTGCCGATGCAGGGGACACGGGTTCGTGCCCCGGTCTGGGAAGATCCCATGTGCCGTGGAGCGGCTGGGCCCGTGAGCCATGGCCGCTGAGCCTGCGCGTCCGGAGCCTGTGCTCCGCAACGGGAGAGGCCACAACAGTGAGAGGCCCGCGTACTGCAAAAAAAAAAAAAAAAAGATTAAATGAGTTAACATTTTCAGACTACCCAGCAAATAGCAGATATTGGATTCAAGAATTTCTCCATCTCATTTCATTGCATTTCACACCAAGGAATTTTTTGCCAAGTTTATTTTAACATTTAAGTAAAAGCCAATAAACAAATACTAGAAAAATCCAGTTTCACTTTCAAATGTGTTTTTCCAGAGTCCAGAAAATACTTTGAACTTCAGAGTGGGATACAGTGGGAAAAGTAAGACTAAATTTCTAAAAATGTTTTATTTGGGAAAACCTTAGATAAATCCTTGTCAGAGCTAAAATGTTGGAACACTACCAATCCCCTCAACCAGAAAAAAATAAAATAGAATAAAAACATTGAAAATATGAGGAATGAATAACTAATCAAAGTAAAAGGAAAAGGTTTTCTTTGCCTAGAGAGGTTTCATTGAGGTTTTTTTGATGTTCTTATTAGCTACAGAATAAAATTTTACATTTAAAATATACTTGTATTCAATTAAAATATAGTTGTATTCAATTATGAATTTCTAAGTTTGCCTTTTCTCTGATTTTCATCTTTGCTAATTGAATATCATGTTAATAGGCCTCAGACAACCTTAGCAAGGGTGACTATAACAATTTTTTTAAGCTTATTTTTAGTAGCCCAAAGGAGCATCTTCTTAACTATACTTTTGTCTTTTCTGGCAGATGACATTTGATCCAGAAATCTTCTTCAATGTTTTACTGCCACCAATTATATTTCATGCCGGATATAGCCTAAAGAAGGTAAATATACAGTGACTGTTTTCTTCTTTTATCATTAAGTAGAGAATTTTGCCAGCACTAGTGAAAAAAATTATTTTATTTTATGGGTTTGCCTATTTGGTAAGAATATCATTACCTTAGATCATATGTGATACAGATTCAAATCTGACATGCTTAGAATTCTTCTAAATCCTGCTGTGTCCAATATACTAACTGCTAGCCACGTGCCATTGAAATGTGACTAGTCTGAATGGTGTGCTTGTTCTTTTTTGCTGTTTTTTTAACTTTTATTTATTTATTTATTTTTTAACATTTGAGGCTTTTTAATCAGTCGTTTTTCTACAGTTATCATAGTTTATTTTATTTTATTTTATTTATTTTTGGCTGCGTTGGGTCTTCATTCCTGTGCGCGGGCTTTCTCTAGTTGCGCAGAGCAGGGGCTACTCTTTATTGAGGTGCATGGGCTTCTCATTGCGGTGGTCTCTCTTATTGTGGAGCATGGGCCCTAGGCACGTGGGCTTCAGTAGTTGTGGCGCTCGGACTCAGTAGTTGTGGCACCCGGGCTTAGTTGCTCTGTGGCATGTGGAATCTTCCCAGACCAGGGCTCGAACCCATGTCCCCTGCATTGGCAAGCTGATTCTTAACCTCTGCACCACCAGAGAAGCCCCTGAAGACGTGCTTTAAGTGTACAATATGCGCTGGATTTTACAGACTCAGTATCAAAAAATAATGTAAATTATTTCAATGTTTTATATTGATTTCATATAGAAATGATAATGTTTGAATATATTGGGGTAAATAAAGCATTTTATTATCAACATTCATTTTACTTTTTAAAAACTTATTTTAATGTGGCTACTAGAAAAATTTTAAATGACATATATGGTTTACATTATATTTCTGCTGGGCAATATTGTTCTAGATGATTATAACCAAAGAGTTTGCTGTTAATTACATTGGGTTTACCCATCACCCACTGGGTGAAAACTTAAGATAGTTTTGCTAATACTCAGCTGTTGATGCTCATGGAGGCAAAGTCTGGTTTTGCAGTTTCTGTGCACTTGCAAAACATTACTTAGGTGCAGCCTGAATGCTCACATTTCGTAAATTAGTAATTCACATAAAAGTTTAGGTGCTAGCATCCCAAGTGCTGCAGAGTGAGGCTCTGGCCTGAACGAGTTTTGAGATGCAGAGGTAGTGCAGTTGCTTCTCTGCTGCCCACCACCCGCTCCAGAGATTCCTAGGGCTCTCCTCCTTTGGCCTGTGGGCTCCAGCAGCCTTTGCTTTTTTCAGCACAGACCCGATTTCCTTGTGTACTCCAGGATCCCTCTTTCTGTCAGTTCTGGCTACTCAGATGCCACTTACAGAACTGGAAGGGAGTTTTCCCAAGCAAGCATTTGAAAAGGTTCAGAAAGCTGGACTTATTCCAGTCATCCTTCCTCATCCCCAGCCCCAAGACTAGGTATCATTTTGTGTGATTCATTAGAATAAACTGTTGTAGGTGAATAAGGTTTTGTTTCATCACATTCAGAAGAACTGTAAATCAGAGATCCAATAAAAGTCAAAAGACAACTTAAATCTTTTTCTTGTGTGTGGCACGCGGGCCTCTCACTGTTGTGGCCTCTCCCATTGCGGAGCACAGGCTCCGGACGCGCAGGCTCAGCGGCCCAGCCACTCCACGGCATGTCGGACCGGGGCACGACCCCGTGTCCCCTGCATCGGCAGGCGGACTCTCAACTACTGCGCCACCAGGGAAGCCCAACTTAAGTCTTTTAGAATAGTGTATTTAAAGTGCTAAAGGGGTTTCAGTGACAACAAAACTTCTGAAAAACTCTGTCTTCCTTTAATCAACCCAGAATCCTGCATGGCCGTTGCTCCAGTCCCTTCCCTCTCTCTCAGGTCCAGCCAGTTCTGGCAGTAGTTTCTCTCATCTCTACCCTGTCACCTTCCAAGTGTATTTTTTTCCCCTATTTTTTGGAAACCTCTGTCCTTTTCTGTGTAAATCAGTTTAGCCTTATTTGTACAATAAGGCCAGGAACTGATGCTCCAAAAACAAAATTTGCCTAAACAGTGAGGGAAGGGTGGGGCAATTTATTGCATTTATTTTTATTTCCTGTTAACACTAAGAAGAAAAATGCTGATGTACTATATAAAATGTATCTTTTTCTCCCCAGAGACACTTTTTTCAGAACTTAGGATCTATTTTAACATATGCCTTCTTGGGAACTGCCATCTCCTGTATCGTCATAGGGTAAGTGACATTCGGAGCTCAAGTTCCAGAAGGCTGTAGGGCCGGTGCTCTCGAAATGTGGGAGGAATCTCACATTTCCTGGACTCACACTGACTGGGTGAATTGTCTATTTTTTTCAGTATATCACCTCTTTACACATTTTTCTGACTCAATTCCAAGGCTTGCATGTCTTCTGACAAACACAAGTCTTCAAATCAAAGCAAACTAGAATTAGACTGTTGGATTTTCTCTGTGAGTTTTGAACTTCTGACTTAGGGAATGTGGATAATTTGGTTTGAGTTATGTGAAGCACGTTGCCTTTTTTGGCTTAAATGACGCAGATACACACATTGCATTCGTTTTCCTTCTTCTTGGCAGAACCTTACCTATAGTTGATAGGAGTAAAATAGTAACTATACGTTAAGGGTTTTCTTTCTAAGGGAAAGTTTACAAGAGAGCAGTCTGAGACAGACATCTCTAAATATCAGCAGAGTTGTTTACTGCTGGGATACACTGTAGGACGCAGACTTGTTTTTTTCTCATTATATTTTATTGGTTATGCTGCTAAGCTCCAAGTCTAACTATACAGACTCTGGCTTGCAGCTCACCATAAAACAAAATGTGGTACAAAATGGTGAAGCCAATCCAATTCACTCATAATCCTACCCAATACGTTAAATCTCCACTGCAGAAAACATGTACAGCTGCTATGACTACAGTGGCGTGGATGTCTTAAATTGTCGATTCAGCCAGTTCTGCCCTGGAATTTTACTGCATACAGCTGTTATATCCCTAACACAAGAAACTGAGGCTAAAAACACACATTAGTCACTCATCCAGCCTTTTCCTTATGAAATATTTAGTGTGTGTCACTGGAAGGCTAAGGAGCTCTCATTACTTGGACCTGAAAATGGGGAGCAGGGGTGGGGGTTATTTTGAATTCTCTGTTAAATTTGTATTGATTCAAGCCTAGAACAACTCAGGCTACATTATATGAAAATGTCCAGCATGGTTAAGGCGGAGAGGAAGCTGAAGATTTTAGCACCTGAAGGTGGAGGCTTGCAGAGATGTAGACTGGGGAGCCTTATAAAATCTGGACAACTAAGAGATCTATCAACTCTCTGTGATTGAGAGTCACCGTGGATTTGATCTTTCTCAAAGCTTGTTCAAGGGGGGGGCTTCTCTGTTCTGTGGGTATGCCATAGCTAAATATCCAAATTTCAAAGCTGGCAAGGGCCTCAGAGATCTGTGTAATTAAAACCCCTCCTTCTGGAGATGGAGGAATGTAACATCTTGAAAGGTTAATTAATTGTTTCAGTCTCACCGTCTATGAGAAGTAGGACCTTGGTCAGGACAAAATTCAGAACTCCTTCTCTTGATCCAGTAGGTCTTTCCATCACCCCCCTCTTCATTTAGCAATTTATCTTGAATTTCTACACATACCTAATATTATTCCTATACATTGACACAAGACTCTGAGATGTGTGGACTCTACAAATGATTGATTATCAGTTTATAGCAAGATTGAATCTTTCGCAGTTCTATAATATGGAAACCTGAGATTTACAATAGATGCAAATTCTAAACTTGTGGACAGTGCTGTCAAATTATGGCATAATCAGTTTCATTATTGCTCTGTTTCCTTTGCATAACTGATTTTAAGTACACATAAGTGTATGCATTTATATAATACGCTTTACTATTATTAAAAATCTATACATCTATTTTTAAAGCACAATAATGTGTAGTGTGTGTCAGTGTGTGTGTATGCTTGCATTTGCGCATTGTATATAATTGACTTGTTCTTAAAAATTTCAATTCAAGAGATCTAGTGATATGTATTTACTGGAGTTGAGAAACTCTTCTAATTGATTTTTAAGGCTGTGATCAATAATTTGTAATGAAAAGTGATTTGAATAAAAAGTACAGCCCTGGCAAAACTTTTAGAACCATGTTCCTTGTTTGAACAACAGAAACTTGTAGGGTGCCTTCCTAATGTGGGTCATTAGGTTAAAGTGCAGAAGGGTTAGATAGTTTAAAAATTTTAGGATCTTATCCAGCAAGGTAAGGGAAACCGTTGAAGAGCTTTAGCTTGAGCGTGACAAGGTCAGATTTATACTTTAGGAAGGACATTCTGGTGGCCATGTGAAGTGGGAAAAAGGCAGCAAGGGGGCTATTTTAGAGGCAATTTCCAGGCTAGGTTGGAAGTGATGAGGGCCTAGTCTCAGGCAGTGGCAATAAAGGTGGATATGGAGCTATCAACTTGTGGAAATCTTGAGAGAATGAGAGTATGTGGAGTGAGGAAGGAAGGTACTTATGCAACAGCACTATTTGAAGAAAGGAAGAGGTGCCCACGAAGGACTAAGTACTGGGCCCAAGAAACAGGAAGCAAACCAGCAGGGAATGTATCTGGAAGTTAAAGGAAAAGGTAGATGGAGGGTGGACAGTGTTTAACACAGGAGAGGTCAAGTGGGATAGGCATAGGTCCATTGGATTCAACCCCTAGGAAATGATGGGCGACTCCACACTTACATTATGGGCAGAAATAGAGGAAGAGTATTGGTAGGTTCAGTTGTTTGGGGTACTGTACAATGAGAAACAATCATTTATTTTTATGCTGTTCTCCAGATACAATCAGAAATTTTGAAAGAAAGGCACACACTTAAATTCAGACCGAACAGACACGTTCATAATTTGGTGATTCCTGTTGTGAGTCACTCAAACTTACACTTAAGTCTTAGAAAATGACCAGTTATATCTTCTGATAAATTAATGGTGGTAAGAACAACGCAACAAACATTTATTCAGTGCTTAATATGTACCATGCCCTTTTAAAAAGTACTTTACATGGATTATTTCATTTAATCCTCCAAATAATCCTATTAAGTAGATAATGTTATTATCCTCACTTAACAGTTGAGACAGCTGAGGTTCAGAGAGAATAACACAGTGTAAGTAATAGGGCTGGTATTAGTAACCAAGGAATTTGGCTCCAGAGTCAAATTCTTAATGCCAAAAAATGTGCTTTACTTCTATGTACTGGTATCACTAAAAAATAGCATTTAGAATATTAAACTAAAGAGAAAATGGCATAAATCAGTCAATATTTACTAACATGCCCCTTGTTTCTTCATTTATCCCCTTAAAAGTTCTCACAGACATGAGAGATTTTTATTAGGGAATGCTATCTAAAAGAAATCCACATTTTTAAGGGGAAGAAGGGGGAGGCCTGAGTTTATTCAGTTCTGTTTATAAAATGGGCAAGAGGAGGGATTCAGGGCAGTCAGTTAGATTAGACTCTGAGAATAATTTTATAAAGGAGGCAGATTCTGGGTAGTCATTTAGTGAAGAGGGATGAGGTAGCTGGATTTTCCATACTCTCAAGTGCATTAGTCCTGGTGGGTATGGGGAATATTGTGCAAGTTTCCAAGTTAGAGAGTAAGTCTCACTGAGCAATGTAAGAGAATGTGGGAACTAAAATACTGGAGAGTCAACTGACAGATGGCCATGAAGCCCAGGATCAGAAATTTATATTTTTATTTTTTTAATTTGTTTATTTTATTTATTTATTTTTGGCTGCGCTGGGTCTTCATTGCTGCATGAGGGCTTTCTCCAGTTGCAGCGAGCGGGGGCTACTCTTTGTTGCGGTGCACGGGCTTCTCATTGTGGTGGCTTCTCTTGTTGCAGAGCATGGGCTCTAGGCACATGGGATTCAGTAGTTGTGGCACACGGGCTCAGTAGTTGTGGCTCGTGGGCTCCAGAGCGCAGGCTCAGTAGCTGTAGCTCATGGGCTTAGTTGCTCCATGGCATGTGGGATCTTCCTGGACCAGGGCTCAAACCCGTGTCCCCTGCATTGGCAGGTGGATTCTTAACCACTGCACCACCAGGGAAGCCCCAGGATCAGAAGTTTATGAGAATGTGAAGGTCACAAAGAGTGATTTTGGAATATGAATGAAAACTCAGCTAGTGGGTCATGGTCTTCTGTAGGTAAACACTGTAATCAAACTACAGGTTGGTTTTAGAGCTGGATTCAGAGGCTTTAGTAATTTAGATCATTGGGTCCATTTAAATGAAAGAGTTCTTAACCTTTATTAACTTCATTTTGTTTCAAAAATTAGATGTAAGTCATCTTTCATATTACATGGGAAATTTTAACAGTATCCTCCTGGCAATAAAGTCAAAGAAACCTTTAACCATTTTTTTATAGGATGGATTGTTCTTAAAGGATCAAACCATCTTTTCTAGTTTTCTCCCCCATTTTATCACTTAAGAAATATTTTAAATACATATCTGTTTTTAAATAAAACCCATGTGTTTGAATTATTTTGCTATTCATCTCCTTCATCTTTGGGGACTATTCCTTTATCTTTGACTCCATGTTTCCACTCTATGGCCACACAGGTGTGTCATCACAATGACAACATACCTAGTGCTTACTGTCAGCACATACATTTTTGTTCTAAGAACTCATTTGTACCCATGAAGTGCTTCTTTTTCAAGAGCAATGAAAATGATACCCTTTTAGCTTCTCTGTTAATGAGGAATTAAATCAAGTGCCACAGTTTCAAAAATATTTGGAAAAAAGGGACATGGAAGACTTCCCTGGTGGCGCAGTGGTTAAGAATCCACCTGCCAATGCAGGGGACACGGGTTCGAGCCCTGGTCTGGGAAGATCCCACATGCTGCAGAGCAACTAAGCCCATGAGCCACAACTACTGAGCCTCCACTCTAGAGCCCGTGAGCCACAACTGCTGAGCCCATGGCGTGCCACAACTACTGAAGCCCGCGCGCCTAGAGCCCATGCTTACAACAAGAGAAGCCACCGCAATGAGAAGCCCGCACACCGCAACGAAGAGTAGCCCCCGCTCTCCGCAGCTAGAGAAAGCCCATGCACAACAACGAAGACCCAACACAGCCAAAAATAAATAAATAAATAATAATTTAGTTAGAAAGAAAGAAAGAAAGGAGACATGGATCTAAATGATGAAGAATGGGGTGTTAATGTTAAAACTAGCTCACTT